GCCTGGGTGAAACCAGGCTCAATAGCAGTAAGTGTCAGAGGAATCTTGGAGTCTTAGTGGACAACCAGCTAAATAGGAGTCAGCAGTATGCAGCAGCAGCCAAAAAAGCTAATGCAATCCTAAGTTGTATTAACAGAGGGATACAATCAAGACCAAGGGAGGTACCAATAACCACTATATAAAGCCCTAGTAAGACCACACCTAGAGTACTGCATCCAGTTCTGTTCACATTACAAAAAAGATGTTGAGACTCTAGAAAAAGTACAGAGAAGAGCAACCAGGATGATTAGGGGACTGGAGACTAAAACATATGAAGAACATTTACAGGAACTAGGCTTGGCTAGTCTAGTGAAGAGAAGGACCAGGGGAGACATGATAGCAGTTTTCTAATATTTGAGGGGCTGCTATAGAGAGGAAGGGGTCAAGCTATTTTCCAAAGCACTTGTAGGCCAGACAAGGAATAATGGATGGAAACTGAACAAGGAGAGATTTAATCTGGAAATAAGGAGAAACTTTGTGACAGTGAGAACAATCAATCAATGGGACAACTTGCCCTTGGAAATTGTGGGAGCACCATCACTGGAGACTTTCAAGAAGAGATTGGACTGCCATTTGTCAGAAATGGTATGGGATCTCCTGCTTGGGCGGGGGGTTGGACTAGATGACCTACAAGGTACCTTCCAACTCTGATGATCTGTTATCTGTTATCTGATATAGTCAAAGGCTAAAAACCTCCAGTGTGGGAACATGCCTTTAAGAATTGACTAATTAAGTAATTATGTAGTCATCCAATCAGCCTTAGGCAAGGAAGGCCCACTTCTATATCTTCAGTTGCCATGTCATTCTGTAAACAAAGGCTTGGTAATAAGGATGATAGCACTTAGACTTGTATATCTCATGCCATAGTTTTTTACAGCACTCTGAGCAGTTTACAATGTTAGCATATTGCCCCTAACAATCTGGATCCTCCTTTTACTGCCCTTGGAAGAATGGAAGTCTGAGTCAAACTTGATCCATTGTCAAGGTTGAACTCCAGGCTGTGGGCAGAGCTATTGTGCAATACTGCATTCTAACACATTCGATGTCTACACATATTGTTGCAACAACTTTCAAGTTAGCATGTCTTTGAGCTATTATGGCTATAATTCTGTAAAATTCCGAAGAGCCATTATAATGCAGCAAAGAAATATGGAACATTCTAAATTTTTGTAGTACTAATCTCAATGTTGATGGAGGACCATAAGGGTCTGATAGATCATAATGGAGGCCACAATCTTCTAAAACAGGATTTCCTAAACTTGGACACTTTAAAACATGTGCAATTTAATTCCCAGATTCACCAATTCTTCTCAATTCCCAGAATTCCCTAAACAGCATTACTAAGAAATTCTGGGAGATGAAGTCCCTATGTCTCAATGTTGCTAAGGTTGGGAAACCCTGTTTTAAAACCAATATGTTGCACCATTGCATCTAATCCTAAAAATACTTTTGCAATCTTGAATACAGGCTATCTCCCATAATTATGAATATGAAAAGTATTGTTTTGATGGATGGCTGAAATATTTCAAACAAGCTCTCTGAAAATCCATATGAATGGTAACTTTCTTGCATGGATTGCAGCATTCAAACAAGTAAAACTATTACTAGGCGATCAATGTACCAAAGCTAGTTACTGTTCTGTCTACATACATAATACCAGTTCCCAGGAGATCCGGCAATCTTTCAATCTTTTGGTGTTTTTTTACATTACTTAATCTGAGAAATTTTAGGAATGTAGGGGGCTGTTTTAATCAAAATAATTAACTCTGCAGAATGAAAATGTTCATTATAAGCCCATGATGGAGAGTAGTGTTTCATATATGTGGAGAAGCATTGCAGTTTCTTGCAGCACACCCTGAATTGTGCAAGGCAGCCATCAATTCACCTTCACCTTATATCCTCTATAAAAACAAAACTACAACTGCCACGACTTCCTGTCTGCTAGCTGCCTTTGATGAAAAGGTTTGTGCCTCACATCTGGCTAGGTTAATGTTAGAATGAATTCCAGGTCCCTCCATTTGTCCTGACAACAGATGCATAAACATTTCTCAGATGAATGAGAGGTGAGGGAAAGGCTATAATTCTTCAAAACACTTCAGGAAATATTTGTAGCTACGCTTCTGGACTTGATTTATATTACTTTTTTTCTTTCTTTCTATGTCTGCAATGCATACCATTGCTGACTCACATCTTAAATTCAGGTCAAGAATTTCAAATAAAAGCCTAGATAGTTTGGATGCAATATATGGTTTGTTCCAGGGTTCCAAATTATCTTTGGTGAAACTGCCAAAAGTTTAACACATATATGTTGCAATTACAGTATCAAATTATATTATATAAGGGGCTGCCAAAAAGAAGAGGGGATATTCTCCAAAGCTCCTGAAGGCGGACAAGAAGACATGGATGGAAGCTAATCAAGGAGAAAAGCAACTTAGAACTAAGGAGAAATTTCCTGTTAGAACAATTAGTGGAAGGATTTGCCTCCAGAAGCTGTGAGTGCTCCATCACTCATTTTTCATTTTCAAGAAGAGATTAGATAACCATTTGACTGCATTGGTATAGGATTTTCTGCCTGTGGGTTGGAGTAGAAGACACCCAAGGCAGTGGTGGGATTAAACATTTTTTTTTACTACTGGTTCTGTGAGCATGGCTTCATGGGCGTGCCTTGGCTTGGTGGGCGTGGCTTGGTGGGTGTGGCAGGGGAAGGTTACTGCAAAATCCCCATTCCCTCCCCACCCCACTAACCTGCTTCCCAGCTCTGTTCTCCAGTGCAGGGCAACAAAAGAAGACCCAGCCGATCAGCAGGGATTCGGGAGGCAGAGAATAGATGGGGGCGGGGCTAGTCAGAGCTGGTATTTGCCAGTTCTCCTCAACTGCTCAAATTGGTTCTCCAGAACTGGCCAGAACCTGCTGAATACCCCCTCTGTTCCAAGGTCTCTTCCAATTCTATTATTCTGTGATATTACAGGCCCACCAAAAACAATACCAGTAGTCCACAACTTACAACCATTTGTTTCACCAATATTCGTGTTGCAACAAAAAGTGTAACTTATGACTGGTCCTAAGTTGCAACAATCCCCCAACTTCATGTGATCAAAATTCAGGCACTTGGCAACTGGCATGAATTTACAATGGTTGCAGCATCCCAGGGTCATGTGATCATCACTCATAACTTTCCTGACTGGCTTCTGACCGGCAAAGGGGAAGTGTAAAGCTGGATTGGCTTAATGACCGCATTATTCATTTAACAACTAGTGATTCACTTAATCATAGCAAAATATTAAATATAATTGGGCACAATTCAATTAACTTGCTTTGCAATGGAAATTCTGGTCCAAATTGTGGTCATAAGCCAAGGACTCAGTGGTGGGTTGCTGCCAGTTCACATGGGCTCACCTGTAGTTACGACCATTGGTTGGGCCCGCCCAGGTGCTATCCTGACCTATATATTTAACCTTTTTGCTCGCTGACCAGCTGCTTTCGGTGCCTTGCCAGATCTGCTCACCCTGGCTGTCGTGCACAGGAAATCCCCTTGGTTTTGCAGTGCGATCACTCACATTTTTGGCCAACTGGTTGTTAAAAGTATGTGCAGCCCACCTCTGCAAGGACTACTTATATCCACTTTATCATGCAGATTCATGCCTGGAGTTTTCTTCTCTCCCACTATCTCTATCCAGAGCTAGAAGAAAGTGAAGGGATAGCACTCAGACCTACGGCAATGAAGACTTTTCAAGTACAGAGAGAAGATAAATGTGGAATTAGGATCAAGCAACGACACTGTTATCATGAACCACTTTGTGTAGATAATATAATAAATGATTGTTTGGGGGAAAAACACCTACATGAACTTGTTCTGCCTGACTAGCTTAATTTCTGCACATCTGCACATTGTGCTACTAAGGCAAACTGTATCGTGGTTTGTTCACTTTGGGCCTATAGGATATGAAAAGCAGCTACAACTCATTCCCTGAAGTGCTTCACTCTAAAGCTTCCATTAAGCAGAAGTTTCCACACAGTCTGTTGAATATTTTTGCACAAGGCAACTTAATTTGTAAAATGCTCTTTAAAAAGCAGGGGCTGCCTGCATTGTTTCTGGAAGCAGCTTTTAAGAGCCTCCGCTTCCCTTACAAGATCAAAGAGAAGCAACCTCCTGACGTTTTTAAAGCCCCAATGGCTTACCAGGTCTTCCGAATTCATCGTGGTTTGAAATCATGGCTTAGCAGATGTAGCTGTGATTTATTCCTCAAGCCATAATAAACAACTCCCACACTTTGGCAGTATTTGAACCACAAAGCTTGTGTAGATAACGGCAACAGCAGCCATTCAAATTAGCCCAGGGTTCAGTCTTTGGCTGAGAAAGTTTGGGGGCAGAGTGGAGAAAGTAGATAAAATCACGAATAATCAGTTTTCACGCGGTTATGAAACCAACGGATCCCAAATCAGAAAAAAAAGGAACAAAAGATGCGAAAAACACCGTAATAGCTCATATTCTTCTGACGTTATATTTCGCCAACCATTTTGGTCCTTTCCTTTCTCTCCTTCCCCATTAAGGATCCCGTTAAGTCGCTAAAGGCGCGTGAAAAAGAGGACGGGAGAAAGAATATTACACGCCCGGGATTCTCCTCAGCGGCCTCCCAAAAAATAGGTTTCCCTCCGCAATACCCCAACGCGCAAGCGCGCTCCTGAGAGTCCACCGGCTCGCCAGGTGCGGGGCGCTTGCCTGCGGCGCTTTTTCGCACCTGTTCCTGGCGCCCCTCCCTCCCCCCGGCGCGCTCGTGCGCGCCGCTCTCCTCGGAGCTTGAGCCGGAGCCACTCTCTCGGGGCGAGGCGAGGCGAGGGGCGGTGCACCCCGCTACCTGAGCGAGTGACGTGGGCGCTTCCTGGCAAGGGGATGGGCTTCCTCTTGTCAGAGGTGCCAGGGAGGGACGTCGAGGGAGGGGTGTGTGCGTGTGTGTGTGTGTGTCTGTGTGTTTTCCTTCCTTCCTTCTCTTTCTCTCGGAGTGTCCAAACTGGACCTGCCTCCGCTTCGCTTCGCCTCCTCCCGCCTCCCGGGTTCTCCTCTGGCGGAGCAGGCGAACCTCCTTACGCGAGGACACGAAAGAACGAGGAGGAGAGGAAAGTTGGAAAACTTGTTCGTCAACTCCGCCGGCCGTGCAGCCGCTGGTGGCCGCGGAGAGCGAAAAAAGAGAGCGAGAGAGCGAGGGAGAGCGCGCGGGCGCGCCTGAAAAATAAAGAGCATGAAAGCCAACTGAGCGACGGGTCGCAGAGGGGGGTTCCGCGTGGAGGCGCCGGGGGTGGTAAGCGAAGGGACGGCGAAGGGTTGTGGGGTTGGGGTGGGGAAGGAGGGATGCCGCGGATCGGGCGGGGAGGGGAGCCCCGGAAGGCTTTCCCGGGGCTTTGTTCTCACCTGACAGTCCGCTGAACGCGCCGCTGCCTTGCGGTCGCGCTCCGTTTCTCCAGACGAACCTGTCGCCAGACTGGACTACAAGTCCCACCTTCCCCGCTGCCTACCAGTGCGACGGACGTTACTAGGGTAGCATCTGGCGGGCACCAGGTTGGCGAGGGTGCGGGGGACAGCAAGAGGGGCGTGAGGGGCTGACTTGAGGGGGTTGCTGGTGGCTGAGGGTCTCTCTCCCCCCTCCCACTCCCTTCTCCTCAGATCTTTAATGCCTGTAATGTTTTTGTCATGTTTTGGGCATGTGTTGGGGTGGATTTGTGCAGGCAAAATTGTGCCCCTTGTCTGGCCATGGAACATGTGATAGACAACTTGAAGTTTGGCCTTGAACTAGTAACTTTGTGCTAAGTGCAGATAAGAGTGCAGGTGTGAATTATCTGACAGATAACAGATAATAGATAATCAGAGTTGGAAGGGATGTTGTGGGTCATCTAGTCCAACGCCCCCCCCTCGCCAAGCAGGAGACCCTACACCATTTCTAACAAATGGGAGTCCAATCTCTTCTTGAAAGTCTCAACTGATGGCGCTCCCACAACTTCCAAGGGCAAGCTGTCCCATTGATTGATTGTTCTCACTGTCAGAAAGTTTCTCCTTATTTCCAGGTTAAATCTCTCCTTGTTCTATTTCCATCCATTATTCCTTGTCTGGCCTACAGGCGCTTTAGAAAATAGTTTGACCCCCTTCTCCCTGTGGCAGCCCCTCAAATATTGGAAAACTGCTATCATGTCTCCCCTGGTCCTTCTCTTTACTAGACTAGCCAGGCCCAGTTCCCGTAACCGTTCGTTGTATGTTTTAGCCAGTCCCCTAATCATCCTGGTTGCTCTTCTCTGTACTTTTTCTAGAGTCTCAACATCTTTTTTGTAATGTGGTGAACAGAACTGGATGCAGTACTCTAGGTGTGGCCTTACTAGGGCTTTATATAGCGGTATTAGTACCTCCCTTGCTCTTGATTGTATCCCTCTGTTAATACAATTTAGGATTGCATTAGCTTTTTTGGCGGCTGTTGAACACTGCTGGCTCATATTTAGCTGGTTGTCCACTAAGACTCCAAGTTCCCTCTCACAGTTATTGCTATTGAGCCTGGTTTCACCCAGTCTATATGTGTACTTTGGGTCTTTCTTGCCGAAGTGTAGGACTTTACTTTTCTCTACATTGAATTTCATTTTGTTAGATATGGCCCAGTGTTCTAGTCTGTCAAGATCAATCTGGATCTTGAGCCTATCTTCTTGGGTGTTAGGATAATTATTCCATCCATCTAGATCTCCAGGTTGAGTTGGAAAACTTAACTCTTTAAAGGACTTGCAAAAAGGCTGAAGGGGTTGGGAATAATCCAGATCCTGGGGATTTATTTATTCAGTGTATGGCATATCATGCACAGACTAATAATATATGCTAACATTTAACCTAGATTAGTAAAACACCATAACAAATAAGTGTTAAAAAGATGAGGGTGAAGGTTCATTCTCTGAGCTTGTGGGTTGGTTTCCAAACATTTCGTGACCAGGGTAGGTACCATCTTCAACAGAGATTAGGGGGTATCGGTTGTCCTTCCATTTATAAGGGCTTTGGGTGTGGGTGTGTCCAGTGAGGGTCTTGTAATGGGTGAGCTATCAGTGAGAAACTTGCAATAGGTCTTGTGATAAGGCGTCATCAGTGAGAAACTTGCAATAGGTCTTGTGATAAGGAGATTACATCAGGTCAGGGTCATTGAACTGGTGGTGGTGGAGTTGCGTGGATTGGTTGAAAGTCTGTCTCTGATTGGCTGTGCAGTTGATTTAGGATTCTGAGGGTTTGTAGGCATGTTTATTTTTTATTTATTTTATTTGTTTATCAAACATGTACAAGATAACAAGTATAGGTATGAACATAAAAATGAACAAAGGAAGTAAATACAGATAAATGGGGACAGTAAGACAGGGACAGTAGGCACGCTGGTGTGCTTAGGCCCGCCCCCTTTAAGGACCTCATAAGAATAGGGTGAGGTCCACAGTAGACAGGTTGAAGCTGTGAGGGGTTGAGGCTGTAATCACAGAATCAGGTAGGGCGTTCCAGGCATTGACCACTCTGTTGCTGAAATCATATTTTCTGCAATTGAGTTTGGTGCGGTTAACCTTGAGTTTGTATTGATTGTCCATGTATTATTGTGGTTGAAGCTGAAGAAGTCGTTGACAGGCAAAATGTTGATGGAATTGCTTGTGGAGTATTAAAAAGATGTATGTTCAAATGCCATTGTCTAGCCCAGGTTTGCCAACCTTTTGGACCTCAGGGACCACCAAACTCATAATTTTAGATCTCAGGGACCACTAACGAGTTCTGTGGGTGTGGCCTAATTTGTAGGTGTGGCTTGGTTGGACATGGCTTGTATATAAATATTATAAATATTTATATAAATATTGAATTTTTTATAAAAAAGAGCAACTTTTACCCAAAATCAGGCAAAGCAGGCAGGCAGATTGAGTTGCTTGCAAAATCACAGATTCATTCAGAAATCTATCTATCTGCCATTGGCTAGCTCAGTCTGACACATAAAATTTGCTTGCAAGCAAACTCATAAAATTTGCTAGCAAGCAAACTCACAAAATTAACTCACAACACATCATGTGTGTAAATATTGATTTTTTTTATTTTAAAAAAGCAATTTTAACCAAAAATCAGGCAAAGCAGGCAGATTGAGTTGCTCACAGAATCATTTGGTGATCTATCTGCCATCGGATAGCTGAGTCGCTCAAATTTGCTTGCCGTGAGTCTCCGCTGAATTTGCTCGCAAGCAAACCTTCAGTCCTAAGGGAAGCAGAGCCGAAGACTAGCTAGAAAGCAAGAAATCCAACTACTTCCTGCTTCCTAGCTAATCTAAATCTCCTGGCAGAGCAGAAAAGATGATGGTCGGAAAAAGGAAAAATAGAAATTCTAGCAGGCAAGTTTGACAGGTAAGGAGTGAGTGGGCGAGGAAGGTTCCTGCAGGCCATGTGGGTGGCGCAGCCTTGTGTTTCTGTCCAGCCTGGATTCATTGCTTGGGGGGGGGTGTGCTCTGGGGGTGAGATTTTTCTGCGGCCCACTAAAATTTTATCATGGCCCACCAGTGGGCCAAGCCCACCGGTTGGCGACTGCTGGTCTAGCCTATCTAGCTACTGAAGCATAGCAACTAGTTAGTATAGTTAGTTTATGACTCACTGGGCTATTAGATGAATATAATAGTAGGAGTTAGCTCACTGGGTTAGCATATTGGGCAATTTACATGTTGCTTTTCATTTTGGGAAGAAACCCCCTACAGTCTATATCAGGGGTCTCCAACCTTGATAACTTTAAGCCTGGCGGACTTCAACTCCCAGAATTCCCCAGACAGCTGTCTGGGGAATTCTGGGAGTTGAAGTCCTCCAAGTTTAAAGTTGCCATGGTTGGAGACCCCTGGTCTATATCGCAAGAGTTGGTCCTTTCCAACAACCATCTGACTCTCTGCCTACCCAAATCTTCATTTGGAATGAAGATGTTACTTGTATGAGTAACAAAATGTCTCAGTTTTAATAAACTGTGATCCAGTTGCCATGATTTAACCCTTTTAAGATATTGAAGTGCAGCATTGTTTATATTTTAAAAAAATCAGGTGACGGTATATGCTTTCAGACGGTTACAATGTCATCTACAGTTTGATGTGGGACCTCTCAGTCGCACTGAGGGGAGGATACTATGCCCCACTCATACGGAATTCCAGCAGACGCTATGTGAGGTGAGAATCGTATTCAAGATTGTCTGTTGCTGACATGATAGTTCAAAGCTGACACTCTTTTGTGGGTCATTTATATGTCTTCCTATGTGTGGGCGTTCAGTGAGCTTTCCATTGGGAATCGATGTTAAAGTTGTGCAGATGTGCAAGTGATTTTGGGGATACCCCAAGGAGATTTAATTCAGTTAATTAAGAGCACAGGTACATTTTTGCCCATTTGCTTTTGAGTTTTCCCCACTTATGTTGAATCCATATGACACAGTAGGGTGGCTTGGTTTGAGGTCCATTCATTATACTATTTGAAACTACTTGGCGTGGTTAATTGATGGCTCAGTGGGCTGTGGGGATCCAGTCAGATGAATATAATGGTGAGATTTAGCAAAGAGTGGGTTAGCATATTGGACAAGCAAATCTTTTGCTTTTGTATTAAAAGAGTTTGCATGTATAATGTGAAATACGTTGAAAGAAAAAATATAGCAAATGTGGAAGAGAAAAAAAGGAAAAGACACCAAGGGGAAAAAAAGATAAGAAAAGAAAAGATGAAAAAATATATAAACAGTTGGCTTTTGAACTTACGCTTGAATTGTATCCTCACATACAATTCCAGAAAGAAATTGTTGGTTATTAGTATGAAAAATTTGAATTGTATATTTTTTCAAGATATTTATCTATCTTCTATCTATCGCCCATCTCGTTTTGAAGCGACTTTAAAGTTAAGACATGGAATAAAATTAAGGAGCATATGTTAAAATGGGAGAAATTAAAATTATAACTGTTGGGGAAATTT